CCCGAGTCCTTCCCCCCTCATCTGCAAAACAAGCAGCAGCAGCAGCAGCAGCAAAAGCGAGACTCCTGCGCCGCCGACTACAAGAGGGTTAAAAGTGTAGATTGGATTTCACCCCGGGAAATCTAGCACACGGAGTGAACTTGAATCTTTGGCTATTTAAGGAGGACTGGGGTTTGTTGTGAAGTTGTGGTGATCCAGTGCAGAGCCCCGTCCTGATTGATTTCATCTTCCTTGAGTCTCAGATGACTGTAAAATGAATAGATGAAATTATTCCTTTTTGAGGCTTTTCTTAGGGGCTCTCCGGGCAGCGTGTTCTCAAAGCGAAGTCATGATGTATTCTCCAATCTGTCTCACTCAGGTATAGACTCGTTTAATTTAATTTATTTGTTGGTTTATTTATTTATTTTTCGCGTGGTTTTTAATTAGTATTATTTTTATATGTGTGAGTTGTTAATGAGTCATTGCTAGTACTTGTAACGGGTTAAAGCACAGTTGTCTGATCCAAACTCCCTGCTTGTCAGATCCAAACTCCTCTCGCAGGAGGGAACAGGAGAGAATAAACTGTACAAGGCCATTGTTTTGGGGAGATCCATTCAAAGTGTCACCCGTAGACAAATACTGTTAATTGTTGGCGCATAAGACGTCAAAGGTTAACAAAATGGAAATGCACATAATTACGCTAAAAAGCGGGTTTGGGAAGTATTGGTTTGATTGAAATCAAGCGTTTTGCTCTCTTTTTAGTTCTCCAGTTTACGCTGAGTCTAATGAAAGGGTTTGAAAGGAAAAGTGCTGGTTTTAACCAAAAAGATGAGCGCTCGCCGGCGCGCAGTAATCGCGTCTTATGCTTAATTAATAATGTGTAGGTTGCCAGCAGTGCGGGAGATGTGAGCGGGGATGACCAAGCTGTGGAGTATTTTCTTGTGGGGTTGCGCAGGGGCTTGGCACTTGTCCCTTCCCAGCGAAGCTGCAGCGTTGGCGGCCGGGCGCGCATCCTCCCGCGCCGGGCGAAGCTCCGCTCCCCGCACC